CCTCCAGCTACTGTGGCAGTCACTGCACGCGAAGATCTCAAAACTCCGCCCCTTGCATGATTTTATTAAACATGTGTTTTAGAATTTAGTCGATGAAACGAAAGGCTATCCCCGGGTTTAGTGGAGCTTCTATAACCGATGGAGATGGCATTCGGATGGCATTAAGGCTTAACACTTGAATACGTTTCTGCATCACCTCATTCGAGTTTTTTCCTCAGTTGTCAAATCAGTGGACAACTATTTGACAGTGTATTAGTGCACATCGGACAAGGCATATACACAGCCTATTGGTTACTAAGTCAGCCAACACGACGCGGATCTATTTCCTACGTAAAGCTCACACGAACGTTTGGCAACATTCTGTCAAAATTGTGTTTTCTGGCAAATAAGTCAGCGATTTCACACTTGCAAGGACCATCTTAAGATTCGTGGACAAGTGTGCAGTGACCCTTGAAGGAAGACGTCGGTGTCCTTCTTGAGGTATGTACAACATTTGCTGCATAATTTCCCCTCCATAATGCACTAGCATGGCAATGTACGCTACTCTGTCGCATATGTGACCTGTCGTTCCTTCCACATAGACACACGGTGCAATCCTTGAGACAGGGTAGGATTCACTCACTTCAACACCCGCCTAATCATTCGTACTGTATAAAATATGTGTATATTAATTCCACTATCTCCAAACTATTCTTTCAGCCGTTGCCTTGTCACTTTAGTTAATGAAGGGTTTAAAGACATATCATCCTTGCGAAAGATCGGGAATCGGAGCGGAATACCGACTGTTGTCAAAAGTTGCATATAAATATTATGTTGTCATTATGACTGCTTCATCGTGAATAATGTTTGAGATTATTCGAATGGATTGCTATACTCGATGTTTCTTTGTAGTACATCTGCATGAATACACGCCTAGAGGCATGTTGCTTATTCAGTCGGAGAATACGATGACACCGGAATAGAACTGTATCTTAGGAACTGCTATAACTTAACCTAATCAACACTAAAAATAGCCCACCGCCAACACTTCAAACATTTTTCTGAATGTACAATTCATTTTAATAACCATTTCTTCAATTTGAAAGAATTTTACTAAAATTCCTTTATCTATATTCAACTTTTATATCAAATACAATTAATCTGTACTAAACATTAACCAATACTGACATTTGATGACAATTATTTTAAGATATATCAAGGACTTTACTGATATGATGTTTGTTTGGTTTGTGTTATGTACCAACACATAAACATTTCAGAGTTTGTAATTCCATTTGTCATGTAAACAAACTCCACAACGATGTTGCTTAATCGCGCCTACCGATTAAGGTTTTCGACCCTAAAGACCCTATTAAGTGTCCGTTAAGTGTTTAAACCGCAACAATTAAGATGACTTAATCAAGACGCTCACAACTAACCCGACAAACACTCAATATCAAAAGCAAGTCCCTCGCTTGGAGCGGTTTCTTCCAAAAGCGGAGACGGGAAATACAGAACCGAGAAGACGGCTTGCACGACGTTTCCCCGTCAGCAATATGATCTTTTTATCCGTGAAATTGACACAAATCAGTCATCAAGATGCATATCAAATTTTACCGTAATATTTATCAGAAACGATAAGGCATAGCCTTTTAAGACCTCTCTTGGTCGTTAGTATATGGCTACAAGCGGTGATAAATGCTGTAATCGTCACATCTAGCCCTCCTCACCTTTTTGCCGCAGGAGAAAGGTCTTACTTGCACTTTTCAGACTTCATAACCGAACACCTGGCATCGCCATTATTTGGTTGAGATTCATGATGAGAACCTGCTTATGATATGGTCGGAATCGTACACGGATTGTACTTTTAGCAGAAATTTCTGATGATTTTGGAAACTGTTTTGTCGCTTTTATCAACACAAATCCGTGTTATATCTCATACTAAACACACATAAAACACATGTATAATACTGTTATTTACATTTAGAAGTTTAGCTGGTGTTCACACGAGCCGTTATAAAAGCCCCAAAGAAACATAACGCATACGCATAATATGAAAGTGTAATGAAGTATTGTCAGTATTTACATCTGTTTATGAAAAGCTCAGCTCTGCAAATCCTCAATATGTGGATTTAGGAAAATCCCAGGAAATCTGCTTATACTCTCAGTACTATTACCACATAAAGGAATGCTTCTCGACGATAAAGATACATTCATATTTCCATATATATTTCCCATGCAACATTTGACAAAATATTATGTGAAAACGCATCCCGTGTAAATATCAATATTTCTGTTTTAACGTTAGGGAAGTGTCTTGTCAAATCTTTTTTCAAAGTTACTTAAAACCAACCTTGATAAAGAAATTAAAATGTATTATATAATAAACCACTTATATACACACCATTACCGTTGTATAAGTCAACACGCACAGTGGAAACTATTTATAAAAAATACCCCACAATAAATTTGCAGTTCTACAACACACTGCTATAACGATACCCTCGCCGTCACAGCTAATACAAACGTCCTTAATCCTAATCCTAATACACTAATCCAGTTAATAATTGCTTACAACGATGTCAACACTTATCAAGGTGTTACTGATAGAAAGCGAGGATGATAGAGACAGTGACTAAGATACATATCATCATGGATTAATCTTGAAACAAGAAAACAAAGAGAGTACTAGTTTAACGTGTTGGGACGAAATGATTCAGACCCCAAGGAGCTGAGTAAATCTCTGACACTTTTCCCTAAATTAGTGAGGAGTATGTGCCTTAGGCTCTTTTCCCCCTCTGTTGCCTTACGACAGTTCTGTCCCATCTGGTGTTCCTGTCAACGTCACAACTCGCGTTAGGCGTCTTAGTTACAAAAATAATACGGACGACTTTCAAACCAATAATTTCAGAGATTTTGCAATTTAACATAGAGGGACGAGCGGCATTTTATGGCTATCAAGTAATCAAGGACTGTTTTCAACATGTAATCTAAAACCGTGATTAGTGTAAATTTTCGTGTTTTATTTTCCAAACCATCCGCATAATCAAAACATGAAGATTCAAATTTGGTTAAGGATTTAAATGAATAATTTTTCAAGAGCACATAAAAGAATTTTGCAAGAATGCAAAATAATGAAGAAAACAGATCAAGTCCATTTCAAAGCCAGTGTTTATATTCCGTTGAAAATTATACCGGTACATTATGTTTCAAATATGCTGAATACATCATGCAAATCAATGATAAAAGATAAATGTTAAGTGTCATATTTTAAACCGCAGTTTGACACTATAGCCGCTTTTTAATATGTTGCATTCATTTTCTGCTAACACGAATACTCATCTGAAATAACACCTGCACGGTATTAAGAGATAGCCCAACTCTACAATAATGTCGGATAATAATAGTCTCTTAATATATCATGTACCAATCAAGCATTAACTCAAGCGTCAAAACCAATTTGTCACAATCGCTAATGGTGTATATTCACTTGAAGGAATTAGATATGTATATTTGTATCTTTGTTAAAGTCTTTATTGGTTTAAACCTCGACTTCAGCTATGAGGTCAGTAAATGGCCCTGTTTGATTGGATCCCTAATCCTAATCCATCCTCGTATTTACTATTAATCCCAATGGATATGGCAAAATCGAACTGTAAATGTGAACATATCTTGTGACTTAACAATTACCATATGGTGTCAAAAAGATGAATCGTTATCTTAGCATTATCATGCTGTTATGATTTCCACTCCACATTGTGGCACATTTTTTTCTAGTAAGATGATTGATTACTATACATAGACATCGAAAGAATTTGTTATGGCAATTGTGAGCGAAGTCGTTAAGTCTTTCATTTGTGTGTTCCAATACAATAACGGTTGTATGATGTTGATCTAAGTGTTGCAAAGCACTGGTCAAAGCTAAAGCACTGAGTTAACTTGAGCTATGTTTTCTTAAGCACCATCCATTATAGTTTTTCCTAAACACAAACAAAAATAGTTCACATGCTTATTTCGCTTCATTCATAGTCTCTACTTTTGTCCCATATATTAATATTGTATTACCCCCAAAATAAAAATAAGAAACAGAGGTCATCTATTTGAAGCTAAATGTCACATTGTGATCAACCAAATCTGTATTCATGCAAAGCGACGTATGAAGCATTCGTGGTCTTTATGTGTTGAGCTGTCCCACCAAAGCAACATTGCTAGATATCACTGAGGAAACAATGTGCATGCCGGGATACTGCAGTAGATACACTGAACTGCACTCGGGGTCATTACTATGCAGATCCGTGCTAGTCATTGATTGACAGCGAGATCAATGTACCTTCTCATTGATACACAGACACATCGTCAAGCACTACAAATCCCATTTACGTTCTCCACATCCAAACTTTGTATTCACAGTCTATGTCTTCTCATTTTATTGGTATTTACGTGTATAGATTATAGGGCAACCAATGCTGGACTGATTGTACCCTTCTCAACCGTGACCGTGTTAAAGATTTGGTAGTGAAGTCAGGCCCTGGGAGCCCTGCATTGCGTGGACTCCATTTCTCAGAACGTTCTGTGCATTTGTTATGAACATTGCACGATACTATCCTCACAAAAAGTGCCCCTGAATTCATATTTGTTGATTTTCGGTGTGTTTGAAACGATATTCAATAGATGACACAGATAAATGGTCGACCTCAGCTGACTGGGAACATATTCGTTTGTAGGGGAGCAGATGCCTTTTTGGAATAGTTATGATATAATGGCATGCACTTGTATGCAAATTTGATAACTGTCAAGAATAGCCTCGTATGAAACAAGAAAATAAAACTTTCTTTCAGTGTCAAATGCATAAAAGAACCATGTTTCTGAAAAGGACCAAGGTGATGTTCATTTCAATCAATAGCATTATTTGTGTCAGAACAATACCGTGTTAGAGACTATACAGAGAACAAACACTGAGCCAGTTGTGAAATGGACATTACGCATAAATTGGTGATGTTCAATGTTGCTTACAACCCTATGCTTACACTGCGGGAGAAAAAACCCCTGAGAATCCAATTTCACGTGGAAATGCATTAGGGTTCGGGAATCCATTTCATCGATTTCATTATGCGGTGAAGTAGTCATTCTTCCTCGTTTTATCGCAGTTTTTCTTCTTCTTTCGTGACCAAGGATATGTAGATATTGTCGTCTGCATTTCACGATAAGTTTGAACGCATTTGGGAGAGCTCGAACTAGTTCCATTGAGCTTAGAACGCCGAGCGTGAACGATTGGCCTGCATGGACTGCCGCTTTCATGAGAAGTCTAGTGATATTGTTCCCTGGCCAATCAGGACCTTAGCTGACGAGGGGCAACCCACGATCTGAGGCACTATAGCACTATAGCATGGAGGTGATACTACTACTACATACACGGGTGTCCAGTATTGACCGGGATTCCTCCTACCCCTAGGGATGTACTGTAGGATGGACACCCCCGCTAGCGTGGCCCTCTTTACCTAGGAAGTTGATGTCAAACTGATACACTGTCTCGTCTGAATGTAAGTCAGCCTCGGTCTATCTAGCTGTTGAAGTATGTGACAAGTCACACTTAGCTCTGTTTTCGTCACAGCGTGACACGGCCACTGGACAGCCAGACTCAACACCTTTGGACAATATTCGGCGATGTACTTTTTTCTGTGACCTGTTCACATAATGCTGTGAAGCTTGTTGTAGCATTTCGTGTGGCTCCCGGATGAATGAATGACAAACTGATATTAGACTGTTGTGTGTATGTACAGGTATGGACATTAACACATGTGTTCCCAATATACTTAATAATATCCAAACGCTGAACGTACCTTTCGTCCTAAATTGCACAACAAGCGCTTATGCCTTTGCGGGCTTATCAGCGGACAAATTGTTGATATAATCCGGTAATTATTAACATTCAGCCACTAACCCGAGGGTGGGTTTAGCGTGAGAGAGGAATTATCGTCTCCTGGGCATGAGTCGTTGCATAGCCACAGTGTAGAACAGAGGACATACGATACAGGCAGTTTGAAGCCCAATCTTTCTCAACTCCCTCTAGGCTGAAAACGGCATCTGATTTGGTCCGTGAGCGTTGACGATCTCCTCCCGTCGGCCATGTTTATTACAAGCGATTAGAACGACGGGATGTTGTATTTCAGACAGCGAGCACGACAATTCAGGTGTGACCTCATACAATATAATTTAGGTATTTTGCGAGTAAATCACTGGTTCTTTTACTCCCTCCAGACCCTTCTAGTGTGGCCAACCTCCGGAGACTGCATGGAAGCCCGGTAACCGCTACTGCACCACTTTGGATTTATCTTCTCGCGAACAAGTGTTTGTTGAAGCAGACGACAAAACTGACAAGCAAACTGGATAGCTCACAGTTTGAGGACGCCATGCCTGCGAAAGGTTTGTCACCATTTATTACATATACACAAATCAGAGAATTAGTATTACATGCTTCGAGCCATTGTGCGTGTTATTTACAGAAATACCCTTACGCAATGTAAACCGAACTTTCACAGACAAATGTAAACATCGGCCATTTTCAACCGTGAAACTGTAATCGAATATGATGTTTTTCTCACAATTTCATATTTCATTTTATTTCATTAATTTTAGTTCTATGGTCATTTCATCATGACAGCAAACTAGAGGAATTTATAGGTCTGAATTAATTTCTGTTTTTCATGTATTCTGTAATTGACACTTCTCACATGCAATTAAAAGAAATTCAATACTGTAAGAATATTTTTGCAATTAGGTTACACGTTACTACCATCTCATATTACCATGCAATCAAATGTCGTGTAAAGAATTACCCATTTACACAATCAACGTTTGATCCACGCAGTGATTTCAATATATTATGATTTACAATAATATTCGATATTCATTTTTTGCATTTGTTTAATTCATATATTCTTACACACCTAAATTTCTGAAACCTCAGAATTGAGTAAACTCGAGAAACCAGCTTTGGGATATATTATTGTAATGGAAGATTAAAATGTGGATGCGAAGGAAATCAGTTTTAGAGCTAGAATAAACTATTGTCATATTTATATTTGCCGGCTCAAAATTGTTTGACAGAACAGTGTATTTTACTATACGTGTCCTCTAGTACATTTACAATTACTTTTACTGCACCGAAGTAATTGTATTTTAGTGTAAAATGGTTACATGACAAACACTTAGTTTGTAACATACATTGATGAAAGAGCTTACATTTTAAAGTGTAAACATGTGTGTATTTTTGTTGGGATTCCAGTTCGATCTGCTTGTGTTCTACACGCTACTGTTACAGTGTACAAGTTACTCCTGCTTTGAATTTGGGAACGTCCACGGCCGATGTATTTTCCTAAACGGGTTAAAATCTTCTTAATGGGCATTTTTATGTAGGGTTCCACAATACAAAAATCTGTGATTAAGGTATAGACTTGAGTTATTTCCTATTATATGTATTGTCTGTGTAGCTATGTAGCCGTGCTATTCAGGGGGCTATTTTTTCTATATAGCGCAGCTTGTAGGAAGAAAACGATGATAAAATTCATATAGGAGTAATGAAAAGATTTTCCCAGCGTGAAGAGAAACTGGTAGAATCTGAGGTAATAGCATACGCCCAACTCAATGGGATGTCAGGAAAATGGCGACGAAACAACACCGCCTTACGGAGTATTCAATCGTTAGAAGAAATTGTCCATTTCCGATAAAATCGGACTCTGTACGATCACGTTTTCAGACATGGAAACATTAAGTTGACCTGACGTGAAACACAGGATTGTCGTAGCAAATGGCTAAAAGAGACAAGTTAGGGGTTTTCTATGACTTGAACGATTTCTGTAGTTAGCCCTGTCCTTATGATACCGATCTGTGTCAAGATTTGCAAGTGCCGTGTCCGAATTCCGTTAAGTCCTCCCTTGTAGAAGTGTCGAAATTGTAATGAATACCAAATACTTGCCAATAGAAGGAACACCGTCTTAAAGATCTCTCGACATCAATAAATTAAGACGATAGGAATCAAGAGTCCAGAGTGACTAGCGATAGTGGTGGTTAGGAGAACCTAGCCATGGTTCTCCCTCGACTCATGTGAGACTTCAGTGCTAATTGACAAAGGGGCTTTCCCATATCCCAGCTCCCTGCTCATGCATTTTCAACATTTCGCTTGCTAAGTCGACTGTAATTATAACTAAATCCTTTGAATAATGATGCGCGCAATATTTTATCGTTTGCTACGACCAGAGGCCTTGCGCTGTCCAAAAGGATGCTACTATCTCGAAAGGGATTCTGATTGGGGATGAACGTTTTATATGGTAGCCTTAACAAAATGCAGACGCTCTCATTAGGTGACTATTAATTTTTCAGCGTCATTTCCTTCTTATCCTCTAAGATTAATTTGTGATTTCAATAAAAATCATTTCATATGCTGTCGACTGTATGAAAGTGAAGTGTTTACACTATACAGCATGGGAATTGACGCTACCAGTATTAGGTCTTGTTTTAAACAACGTTATACATATAGGTATGTTATGGTAATTCTGAAACTTTGATGCCAAGACAGTACATTATGTTTACATTAGAAACAAATGCCTATGAATTCATCGGAAGGACTGTGGTTTTAAGCGGTGAGGTTCACAAAAGTTACCCTCTCTTTCCCATTGTATTTTTTCTTTCCTTGTAACGTCAGAGTACTAGCATGTTAAATGCGATGTATGAGGCAATTAAATTATATAATGGTCGTGTAGATGTACACACGTGTTAAGGCGACACGCTAATTTAATTGCTATCCTTTTTTAGAAGGGACGTGTCACATTGTGAATCCATCACATACACAAACTACATGTTTTCAAGTCTCAGAGACTGGTAGCTTTGATCGATTATTTTATAACCAAATTCATAGAACTGTCACCAATGCCATATCAGATTTGAAAACATCTCTTTGATCACGTGATCATCTAGTGAAAATGTAAACAAAGTACTCAGGCGACAATCAATCATTCTAATCGATCTTGACTATAATTTTCTCAATTAACATAACGTCACAAACAATTCCATTTTATCGGAAACAATTTAACCTAGGTCTCCATCCAGCATAAAACAAACCAGTATCGCTAATACAGCAATGAAGCTGTGTTGTTTGAAAGCAAATTTCATAACAGACATCAAACCAGGACGTTGCATGTATTTTGATACGAAACGTGTTGGTCACATTATCTAACATAATTTATGAAGGTATGAGTGTATCATGGAGCTTGATGAAGCTATTTAGGCACACGATTATTTAATTGTTGCTTTCTCAATAATTTCATGGTATTAAACGATTCCCATGATAAGACTCGAGCGTGGCGCAGACACAAATGCACATTAATTTAGGGAGAAAGATGTGACATGTCTGAAAGATTTAAGCGATCTATCACATGTCTCGACTAACTTCAGATACATAGATGGAGATGAGACATGCATTCACGTTTACCTGTCCCGATTAATTACTTACAGGTAAGACTAAAGAGCGATCTCACTCCCGTGGTGGCAAAGAGCCGAGCGTTCTGTGTGTACAGTATGAAAAGCCTGGGGCAACAGTGTATCTCCTTGTCTTGGGCCTCTGTCCTGGCGTTTGGCAGAGACTGGCGACGGTCCTATCTATCATTGTTGCTATGTATTCGAAGAACAACGTGCTAATATGGCAGATATGAAGTGGCCTAGCTTCTCTGATTCTCATTTATATCTTGTTGTGTTCTCCAGAGGAAGACACGAGCCCAAATAGCACCAACCACAGTGATGCTGGAAGCACCGGCAGTGGAAGCAATGCTAAGAAACATACACGTAAACGAGGTAAGACATTCCTTATAATACAGTATCAAGTAGAATAATAGATTTCTTTCCATAATGCATGAGAATATCTGACAAGTTTCTTCTTTTCTAAATTCACTATACACTTGTGCACTGAATCTTGTGTCACCTGTAATTTTCCAACAGATATTTCGAATCATTGGGAATATAGAAAAATCCTTCATTCTGTTGATCTTTGCACAAAGGTATTTAACTACCTAATTGTTACTTTCATCAAATACGGATTATCAGTCTATAAAAACAGAGAAGAAACTCTTGTAGTTATGTTTGAGATGGTTCTCATTTAATGTGTAAAAAGTTGATACAGGCAAATGTTATATTGAAACTGATTTTGGTGGGTAATTTGGCACCTGTGTTGTTTATGTGAGTAGATACAGAGGATAATATTCATCCATGTTGTGTTTTCTGAACAACAGTTTTCTTGCAACATATTGTGCAATACGTAATTCGAAGAGAAACGAACCAGAATGAGAATCTTGCGGTTTGGATAATGTTAGAGACTTTAGAGTTGTGTTGGAAGCAAACTGACGTTATAGGCATGCATTATGTAAGCATACACGCACACGTGTCTGAACTGTTAGCTTCAACATTATATTTGGTTACTCTCCCGTGTTTAAGGCATTTAATAATTAATTATAAGTCATGCATCAGGAACTAACACCAACAGTAATATCTGATACTTCTAGAGCTTAGACGATCAATGTTTTTGATAATTAATGATCATACATCTATGGCGAAACTTGTGTTGGGTGAACTGATATATGGCTGTACTGGGGTTGGTCTTTGTTCACGATGCTACTGTTTTCCATAGGAAATGTAAATATATATTGTTAACGAAGCTAGAACATCTGGTCGTCCTACTGTGGGTTTACCAAGAGAGATATGGGGATCGACCCCGTGCAAATAATGGATATATTCATTGGAGTAAACAAAGTTAAGTGATGTAACTTTAAGTAAATGTATACACATTTCTGAATACATATTCACTACATGTGCGTTGCAGTTATACAGTGAAAACACAGTTTACCTATATTTGATAAATTTTTAAATGTTATATATCTATAGTGTAAGATTAAGTTGTAGGTTTTGTCATGGAGTTTGTTAACTATCGTTTTGGAAAAAGCATTATATCAAGTTATATATCTATAGCGTAAGATTAAGTTGTAGGTTTTTTCATGGAGTTTTGTTAAGTTATCATTTTGGAAAATGCAGTATATCAATGTCCATGTGCCACATCAACATTACAGAGAACAATATTTTGTGACAAATATTTCCACGTTATTTGTCAGGCACTCGCCACAATCAATGATTAGCAACAGTATTTAATCTTTAACCTCAACGATAATGTGAAAGATATCGACATTCATTTCATATTTCATAGCTGTCTGTCTACTAAACGAAACGTAAGATATGAGATAAGATACCTCCTAAAAACGGCTTTGATTTATGAATAGCAATTAATGCCAGTTTTAATTAGAAAAGTTCAGAATGCGAGTGGTATTATATTAAAGCAGTGTGGTGTTGTCATATTTCCTTCATTTTAAGTCTCATACCTGGCATATAGAATTCCAGAGAATTTTTTGCCAAGCTCCGTGAAGAAAAATCGATATGTCACCTTAAAAAGATTGAATATTTTCGCTTTTCGCCACCGTCTATTGCCTCGCTTGCTCAGCAGAACTCATGATACTGTCGACATCAAAAGCTCATGTCTTACAATCTGAGCTAAAACCGCCAGAAATTATGCGGAAATTAGCATATAAATAATTAGATCCCATCGCATTTACCTGGCTTGCTTATTTCAGTAATTTAGGAATCAAGCCTTCTACTGCTTGACAATCTTCTAAGGCCGGTTTTCTCTTTTCATTACATTCCATAAGCACTTTTGATCTTCCGTGCTGGTTAGGGGAAGAAGTTCTTTAATCACACTTTAATACTTTTCCGATGAAGTCCGTATTTTTACTAATTGGTCATGTCAGACTTTTAATCGAAGGATAGCTTGACGTGGTTTAATGTGTACCCAGTCGATGATGTTGTTCTCTACTTGGTACGTATGCGAAAAGGTCACGTTCCTTTCGACGTCATATCCTTAGTTTCGGGCGCGAATATGTTTTAGTTATTGCAAATTCAAAATTTAAGCTTACACGTGTTAAAGCTCTAAAACAACTGTCTACAGTTTTATTCATGCTACATTTCGAAGCTGTTGTATATATCCATCAGAGTAATGCGAACATAATTCAGACAAACCTCCCCAAATCTACAATTATAATACAGACTTCCTTTTGTGCTCTTGGTATAACCTAATCTTGTTCGATTGTAGTCTTTACTTTACAATAAGAGTAATTATCAACATTAGAAGTATTGAAATAATATTCTTCACTTCACAAGTCACAATTTGAAAGTGCTATGAAATTTCTGTGAAGGTGTCTGAGCTTTGAGGTCCTCCCCCTTTGACCATCGCCATGTTATGTATTTCCACTGCCCCCCAAAATGTAAAGTGTGGGAAGCAGCCTTCTCTTCACATTGATCCTACGCCGTATCTCTCCGCCTCAATCAGGTCTTTAATTATCGGCGTTAGGAGCCGTAATTTAACCCTGACAACGAGACAAATAAATATTCAATGTTCTTGTTTGATTTCGGGTTGTTTTGGTTGTAAGGACAACTGGACTTTTAATCGGTAATATCGCCGTGAACGTTTGCAATATATTCATCTGTCACTAGATGCATTTCCGAAAGAAAAGTGTAATTACCGACTACAGAAGGACTGGCACGTATTTCTTTGATAATGCTTCAACGTTGTGTGAATACTGAGCCAATATGACACTACACAGCCTTTCTAGTTTCTCATGTGTACTTGAATATATTGATATAAGCCTTCATGACTTAAGCTGTCACGTTACCCTGGGTTTTTATGCTTATATCAATAATTACGCAATAAATACAATTCATAAATACATAGATGATAAGACGAGGGACCTAAATTGTAAAATGAAAGTGAGTTGTGTTATAAAACACGTTGTGAGTTGTGTATACAAAAACGACTCATTAACTGACAGTGGGAATCAGTAGCATTTTGTATACGTTTTGAAAATATTACAGAAAGCTGGCTAGAAACGATTAATACACTTATCAAACGGCCTACCTTAAAGCACTTCAACCTGTGTTGATATTGTTTTCAAATGAAGTAATAATTACACATACAATGAATACAAGAAAATACACTGAATATTCCTGGGTGGTAGGATATTGTTTCCAATTGTTCAACTGAGTGTTAAATCAGCTACTTAGATTTCAACCAGTAATCATACGCTTTGTTTAAACGCTTTTAACTGATTTTAAAAAGTTTATATTAAATGTATTCCTAAAAAGTTTCAAATCAATGGTTTAACGATATCATGTGAAGATATTTTTAATTTTAATTTTTTACATCCAAATTCAGTGCGGTAGTATTATCGTAATGCATTTATTTCCTTATAATTTCTATGTAACTGATATCTAAATGGTTGGAATACGAAATCGCTTAAACCGCAACCAATTTGGTTCATATAACAGAACTAGAAGTTTGTATTTGACAATTTTGGAAAATGAGGCCTCCGGATAAAGTTTTTCTTCCCTTCGTTATCATTCCCGTCTGTTTCAGCTTGATTTCCAATGTTTGGGTTTTGTATGTCTTGACTGCCGAGTTGTTAAACACTATTCAAACAAAACCCGAGACTACACTTAGCTGTGTAGCAAAACATGCTTAAAAGACGCTGAGGACCCAAACCGTTGCCAGATGCATGTGTTTCCCACTTCAAAGGCAGCGCCTATCTGAGCATGTGTTAGCACAACCATGGGCATCAGCAACATTGGCATAACATTCCGAAAAAATAACATCTAAAATCACAATATTTGAGAAAATTAATGAACAGATTCATCTAAGATGTCCTTTAGTGTATCAAAAACACAAGGAACGGAGTCGTTGTAACAACTTGCTGACGGTTCGTTTGTTTTTATTTAACAATTTGGGCACCGCAGATAAACTGTAGTTTGTTTATCTACAACAAATTGCATTCAATGTACACGATGTTCGTTCGGTTTCAACTTCTGGTTTATGGGATTCCAGTAGGATGAACTAGCTACCCTTTGAAAAATTGAGGCTTTGTTTAGATGATTTTCAAGACATATGGACACTCGCGGAGACATGGTTTCGGAAAAAGCAGATAATTCAACGAGGGCGACAGAAAAAGTTATTTTTTGTAACTTAACCAAAGTGTCAAGTCCCTAAGCAAATTCCAAGCATTTTTTTATTTCGCATTTCAAGGCAGTGTAATTCCGTTTTGACAAATATAAAGTCATTTTGTAATTGAAATAATACAAAGTATCCTACAAACTGTGACAGTCAAAGCTTTGGAAATATTTATAATGGAAGAAATGCCGACTTACGTATCAAAAGGTGACTGCTTTCAGTGTATTATCCCCGGCACACCTTTGCCGTACTTGTAATGCCGTGTTTTCACATTTTCATGAGAATAATTTAATCAGGCATAAGATAGCGGCGCTCATGTGTTTATTCTTCAAACAGTTTTCACTTATCACAATGTTGACATATGATATTATTCTGCCTTAAGCCGTTTGTGGTACTTCTTAAGTGTATATTCTCCCATCATAAATGATCACAGATACAGACAAAGCTATTTTACATTAGTATTTGTCGTGCTTGAGTTGATGATGATTTCTAGTAAATGCGTCATTTAATTTCGATATCTTTATTTAATGGGCCGTAGATGTACTGGTCGGAATTACCCAAACATATTCCAAGAGCAGCGACGCCACAGATGTATGTGCCATTATGTTTCTGTTGTATATGCACGTTTACACATTGACAGAGATAAAGGTACAGTGAAACATTCCACGTTTTATAATTAACAGTGTGTATTTGTACACACAGACTGTGCAGCTCTCTGTACAACATCAGTTTGATACTACAACCATAACGCACATGG